AGAATTACGTAGATCCTCCGTATTTTCAGAATTCGCAGGATTCTCAGTATTCTCAGAATTCTGGATTAAAAGATCGTTATATTGCGTCATCCACGTGACTTCATTATGACTGGTTAATTGCTCCGTTGACAGCGCAATGCAGATTTGCGCACATATTAAAAAAGTATTATGTGCAGAAAATCATCAGTCATATGCAAGCGCATATGACCGCACTGCTAAAATCACACACTGAATATATGTAAGCTCCCTAATAGTTTTATTATATTTTAATCAATTTTTTTATTTTTTTATAAAAAAGGTTTTTCTATTTAATAATTTTAAAATATAATTAATATACTTAAGATGACTTACTAAATATTAATAGATATTAAAAATTAGCTTTTGTTTATTATCAGTTAATAGAATTCAGTTCCTAGTTAATTTGTCTATAAGAAAAAAAAGTTCAAAGTTTAAGCTATTTAAATTTTAAACATAATCTAACTTTTATATGATTTGTACATTTAAATGATATAATTGTTAGCTTTTTTATTAGATAAAAAAATCTAGTAATAATTTTTATATATTAATCTTTTTACACTTTATTATATTATTAATTAATTTTTGTAATAGTTTATAAAATTTTAAAAATTATTTGTTTTTGATATTTTATATTAAAAGATTAAAGTTAAATTAAAATAAATAAAATTTAATAAATAAATTAAAAAAATTTTAATCTTATATATTTTAAAAAATCTTTTTATTATATTATAATAATTATTATTAATATTAAAATATTTTATGCTAATAATAAAAATAATTAAGAAAATTTATCTTTTTTTTTTTTATTATTATTATAAATTATAATTGTTTTCTAAATAATTTATAAAATTTCAAATTATTTTACATTTTGTATTAAATTAATAATTTTATTGAATTTTATGAGATTTTAATATTTAAAACCTTTATACAGTCAACTTTTGTTATAATTAACTCTATGTTCTAGATCTCAACTTCGCTATAAGGCTATATTAAAGATTTTAAGAGATTTGATTGACCAATTTGCTATAATAAGAGTATTTTTATTATATTTGTTCAAAAAATTTGTTATATCAAGAGTTTGCTATATCAAGAGTTGATTGTATTATTATTTTATTTATTTTGTTTATAAAATTTTTTAATAAAATAAATTAATTATTAATAAATAAAAAATTAAAAAATTTTATAAAATAAATAAAATTATTTTATTAAATTCTAATCATATTTTGAAAATAAAATTTAATTTAACTAATTAGAATAATAAAAAAATAAATATTTTTTTTATAGATTTAAATTATATTTTATAAAATAAATTTATCAGTTTTTTATAATTCAAATTTTTATTTTTTGAATTATTTTATATTAATTATATAATATGTTATACATAACCTTTATTTTATATTTTTTAAAATTTTCTATTATTAAATAAAAATATTTCATTTTATATAAATCTAATAATATTATATTATAAAAGTAAATCTTTTTTAAGTAATAATAATAATATAAAACATTTTGAATTTTTTCATTTGATAATCCATTAAAATCATTTTTTTCACCATATTTTAAATTTGTTAAATATTTAACTTTCTAATAAAATTATCAAAATTGTTTAAATATTTTATTATTATATAAATTATAATATTTATTGCTATTTTACTATTTATTATTACTAAAATATTAATTAAGAATCTAATATATTTTATATCAATATCTTTCTAGTTTTCTTTTATAATTATTTTTAAACTAAATATTTCATTTTATATATTTAATTATTTTATATTTTTATATTTCTGATATTATATAAAATTTAACATTTATTTTTAAATTATTATTTTGAAAATTTATTTTAAAAATTTTATAAATAATATTAATTTATAACTATTTGTACAGTCTCTGGCGAAAAGAATGGTAGTGAAAGACTACATCCATTTTAGGCTGCAGTTTCATCACTTTTCAGATTTAGGCATTTGTTTATATGCCTAAATTAGATATTAGAATTTGAATTAAAAAGGTAAGTTAAAAAAATAAGGTTTGTTATTTGTTTTTATTTTGATTTCCTTTCTAAAAACTATGCTAAGCTCTTTAAAAATACAAAGAAATTCTGTTAAGTTACTTTAGACTCAAAAAGTGCATAATGTAAAGAAAATTTCTAATTAATTATGCATTCTTTTATGCACATGTGAACAATATATCAGTTTACTAAATAAAACTGACAAAATTTCTATTAGTCACTCTTTTGGTCATCCAAGAAAATTGGTTCAAATCAATGTTACTATATTGGAAAAATTCTGCAACATAATCATTTTATTACACTTAAAGCAAAATTAGAAAAAAAAGACCTTAATCTTGATGTTACTTTACTAAAAATGATCAATTTATTGTAAAATGTTTTTTAATACTTTTGTAATACTTTTATAATATTTATGTAAAAGTAATATTATTTTGTAAATGTTGAAATTGTTTTATAATACTTTTAAATATTTTGTAATATATTTAGCAATGGTTTATAAATTTATTATATAAATATTACAGAATCTTTATTTCTGAAGTACTGAAAATATGCAAATTGAAATGCTTTTACAATAATTATAAAATACCATCAATTATTAAATAATAAAATTGCAATGAAATATTTTATATATGCAATTTTTACCAATTCATATAACTACAAATATTGATGTCTTGTGCTAATGTTACTCCCTTTCAGAAATAATATTTAAATCAACTGTAATACGATCAAGCATATGCAAGTTAGTTAATATAGCATTTCGCCATTCCATTCATTTAGTTTTCATAGCACTAGTATATATAGTTTTATCAACATTTTTCTGAATAAAGTGACGGATCATGATTAATATGACTTCTGCTAGATAAGTTTTTAGCATATTCAAAGACGTTTGATTTTCAAACAAATGGTTCCTTTTAACTTGTTTTAGTTGTAGTTCGAAGATATTGATAATATCATCCTCGCTTATGAAATTGTAAAGATGAGATGATTTCAGAAGATTGTTCAAATCCACACTATATGTAAATACTCATTTAATTAGTATATCGAAAGAAAAACAAAACTTTAATAATAAATAATAAATACTGTATAATAATATTACTTACTTGTAGCGATCTAAGAAATCAAAGACTATATCAGTACATTTATCATACAATTACACCCTCTACGTTGAGAACTATCTATAATCCTTCTTCTTGGCATTATTAGCATTAATATTATCAATCTTAAGATGTTTTGCACACTCTCTAGCTAATGCCAATATCAGTTCTGGCGTTAGTTTACATATACGAAAAAATAAAACCTTTGACTTATTAATAAATAAGCCCGCAAGTTAATTCTATAAATATAGTGATTATTGAGCATTCGCATCATTTTTAGTATTTAAATTAAAATGCTCAGAATACCTTAAATGCATGATCACAGCTTTGATTAATTTGAGGCGTTATTGTAATAGAACCAATTGCTATATTATTTGAGACTATAATATTCTGAGGATTTTCAAATGTCGTATGTATCATATTCGAAGAAAGTATGCTTAGTTTAATTGCTTGAATAAATGTGACAAATATTAGTACTAAGCTATTAGAATTTATAGAACTGATAGAGGTCATAAATTCCAAGTCTTATTTATCTGTAGAAGAGATTGATTGTTTTGTAGTATCATTTGTAATACCATTGATTTCAACATCATAAACTTTGATGATTAATTCTTGATTGACTTCTTGTTCTGTTATGATTTTATAAATTTGATTTGTCATTGTGTGATAAAAAACATTAAATCTTATTATTAATAATAATACCTTTTTCTTCACCCAGCTTTATACGTTTATTTGATAAGGTAAAAGATCTAGTACTTAAAATATCATTATTAAGTTCATCTAGATCCTTTTTTGCTACAAATCGTAATGATTGTTAATTTCTTAATCATATTTACCATAATACAATTATCATATTGCAATATAACTATTTTTTTTTTGTGCTTGTAATATTTGGCGTAAAACCTCTCTCTAAACCTGCATATTCAGTGACCATGTTTGATGATATTTCTGGAGAATCTATATTTGTAGTCAAAGAGGACTCATCATCGTCAAAACCAACTTGAGACATAGTACTCATACTCCTGGTTGTGAGACGTTTTACAACAGGATTCTTTTTATAACCTGCAGTGATCATGTTTGACGATATCTCTGGAGAAGTTGTATTTGCAATTGAAGGGATCTCATCAATACTATTATTATCGAAATCAACTTGAGGCATAGCGCTTATACTCCTGGTTGCAGGACGTTTTACAACAGGCTTTTTTTTATTTTTATAAGACATGTTTAAGAAATATTTTTCCAAAGAATGGAATAAAATATATTGCCTTTTATAGTTTAAAATTTAAGGTTTTTCTGTATGTATATGTACGTCATAATAAAGTATCAATGATTTAAGCTTTACTTGTATGGGTTCACATAGCTTATAAATTATGTAATATCATATGATAAACTTAACGGAAAAGAATAACAATTTTGTTTCATATAAATGATTTTTATAACTGATATTTGAAAATTTAGTAGTATTATTTAACAGATATATTCCAGATATTTATTTATGTAAAAAAATCATTAAATACAATATTTCTTGTCTAAAAATATATTTTCCAGTTAAATTTATAAAACAAATTATTAATCATGCATTATCGCACAAGCCAATTTAATTTACTTATCATGGTTAAATAGTTAATACATTAGCCAATTTTATAATCTGATTAATGCTAACCTGATCACACCAACCATAAGCTTTTATTTTAACTTTTTATAGTTAAAAAAGAAATTTTCTGCAATATATATATATATATATATATTTTCTTTCTGTAACAATTTTCTTTATAAATTCAAGAATCGTGTTTTTTTTATTTAAAATAATAAATATAAAGTAGACCAGAGCTAACCAATGATACCAAGACCATGATTTTCGACTGCGTAAACCTAAATGTATAAAGAATCTCACAAGCCAAACACCTTATACTATTTTAGGTGATATAACATCTTTTACAAATGCTAACATTAGCTCTATACTGACTACAGAATCCTTGGATATGTAAGAACAAACTCGATATATATATAAAAATAAGAAGATCTAATCACCAAAATTGCGCCTAAATGAGAATAATGATTCTTCAAACAATGATGTTTTTGATAATGATCAATTCGCTATAAACAATGAATTGGATTTTTATGATATTTTTGACAATGATCAAGATACTAATGAAGAATCTGTTGAGTAAGAATATGATAGCAATGATGATAACCAAAATATGAATGAAGAATCTGTTAGGTGAGAATATGATGGCAATGAGAAGTAAAATCATTATTTTAGAAATACAGGACCATATTTTCTAAGCATTACTATATTTCTAATATTTTTATGGATCACAAAGCATCAAATAGGTTTCGAGATATACAAAGATTTTGCGAACATCGTTAAACATAACGAGTTCAATTTGAATGACGTTCTGCTTTCACTTGCAACTATTAAAAAGTATCGCAATGGATTAGGACACTGATATATATTACATAATATTTTTAGGGGTGGGGTAGCAGGGGCTTCTAAGAGATGTCTTACATTACACTTAGATATATATATCACGTGATTATTTGGCTTACAGTAATAAGCAAAAAATATTTATTAATACTGCAATTCAATACATGCTTACTCTTCATCCGATACATATTCCCTTAATTCAAATAGAACGATATTTGATCGTTATGAAGGTAGAAGAGAAAAATCATCAAACAGCTCATTCTGGTTTTTAGATTGGCCTTTAGATCATCCTTGAATTGCAGGGTATGCTGTTTTCTTATGGTTCTTTAAGAAAGTAAGGGTAGGAAAGTACTTCTGACGTGCAGAACAACAAAGACAGGAGTATATGTTTTTTCAAAAGACAGACAGTGAGCATTATAGCCCAGAATTTTAGACGATCATAATATTGGAGTAAATGAATAGGATTCGTAAATTGTCTATCATTAGCTTTTGTAACAGGTAGTAAGAAACCATTGTAGCTTTTAAGAAATTTCATTGCTTCTTTAGCTCTTGGTAGTCCACAACAACTTGTATCTTTACATTTTCTGATATCAATGGAATATGTGTATAAATTGCAGTATTTTTCAATCCAAGACCATGAAATAAAGCATTCAGAAAAGGTAAGCGCTTTATTCTTCTTTTTTGCATTTTTTTGGTTTTGTTTTTCTTATCTTTTTAATTCTTCGGCCTTTTCTTTTTTTGTATCCTTAAATTCTAAATTTTCAAATAGATTTGTAAATGTGTCAATATACCGAGCATCAACGTGTTTTCTAAAAATTGAATCGCGACTCCAAATATTGCAAAGCATCTCTCCAGTATATCGAAAATTTTGAGTAGCTAGCTCAGGATTCGTGACATTTCCTTACGAATTCAAATGTTTGCCAAAGTGGTCAATTGGTAATATGATGCCAGCAAGTTTGCCAGATAGTATTGCCATGCCTCTTTCGACAGGGTTGTATTTAGATTGTTCTGGTACATGTGTTCGTACTCAGGTAATCTAAGTCAAACTTTTTAAAAAGTTGACAGTATACCATTATGTTTTTCAAATGTCTGGGATTTTCGTCTGGCCCTCCATCTACTAATAATATCCAAATAGGTCGAATTTATCTATTGGTCTTTAATGCATCATCATATTGGAAATTTAAGGTAAGACTTTTTAGATCCTGCATATGTATTAGCGAGAATGTACTAATAGGCCATTGGGAACATGTAAAAATTGCGAGTTGTTCTGTTTGAAGTTCATCTTTTAATTCATTTGGTTTAATAATTAGATATACTAAAGGAATTAGTTTCTACCTACACCCAATAGGAAAATCGTGATCGGCTATGGATACAGGTTCATTAATTGACTGTAAGGTTTGAAATGTTCGACCTACTGCAGGTATTCCAAGACCCACTTTTGCTTTGACGTCTTGAAAAACAATAACAGACATATCAGCAAACATAGAAGCAAATTGTCTTGCATATTTAATAGATGCAAGACAATAATGCCCATCAGAATGCTCTTGAATATCTGTACGTAAAACTCTAGATACAGCAACCTATGCCAGATGATGATGAGCCTTAGTAGCAATCGAATTGGATTGGCGAGGTAAGAGATAATTCTTTAATATTGTTCGTATCATATAAATATTATATCTTTCCTCCAAATTCTTACGCAAATTTTAACGATGCGCTCCTTAACTATCTCTTTTCGCCTTTTTGAATCAGCTGATCCAAACTTGACCAAGTTGTGAATTTGATTGTGTAGATCTGGATGTTCGAAAAGTAATAGTGGACGGCCAGACTTATCATACTGAACTACCTCTTGATTCTTTGGTAAGTATTTTAAATTTTTTTGCTCTACAATTTTGAGCATATTTCACGTTTCTTTTTAGTTTATTAATTTTGTCCTTATTAGAACTAATTTCATATTCGGCTTTTTCTATTTTTATATATATATCATGCTGAATATGAGTGTCAGTTGTGATGTTGTAAATTTGTTTTAATTCAGCAAGTTTTTCTAATCTCTTCTGCTATTTTCCTTTAAGCTGTTGCATTCTTAGAAATTTCTAATATAGGTTCGACTGGACTAATAATAGGAAGGGGAAAACTGTTTCTAGTATAGGTTTAGGACGATTTGCTCTTATTGTTAGTATGTTATATGGGTGAATTAAAGTAGTGATATATTCTCTAATTATATTATCAATTTCCGTAGCACTTTTGCCTTTAATGCTTTTTTATTCTGTTACTACTTCACGGCAAACAATAGCACGATTTGGAGTACTATTTCCCATTTTACCATAGTACTATATACATAAGCATTAGAGAATTCCTGATACTTATTATCTGGCGAATTGTAAATTGATTTTTTATTAAATTTAGGGCCAATAAAGTAGGTTTGACGACTCATTTTTCAAAATAAAAGTAGACGCGTTTTTTGAGAAATAAACTTATTTTTTATTATAAAAACGCGAAATATCAATACATTAAATTCTCTTTTATAAAACTTTCGTAGCTAATTATATTAAAATACAAGCCTTCCCGCAGTTAATTTATATTAAAATAAAAAAGCTACTGCAGCTAAATTTATTAAAAAGGGCACACTATTCTTTTCATATCAAAATTCCACAGTTCAATTTATACTAAAACAGAAAAATCCTATAGCTAAATTTATTAAAAGACTTTCATATCAATATGTAAACCCCCGCAGTTAATTTATATTAAAACAGCAAAGTTTCGCCACTCTTTTCGTATCAAAATAGAAAAAAAGCCTTGTCTCCGCAGTTAATTTATATTAAAATAGCAAAGTTCCGCCACTCTTTCGTATCAAAACAGAAAAAAAGTCTCTGTTAAATAGCTTAGTTTCAGAATGCAGATTTTTTACCTATTGTATTGTTATAAATAAAAAGTCTAATGATTATTATCACGTGACTTGCCTTAATTATCTTACATAGGGTAGGGGTCAAGCTTTATATTAAATTAATATTACGTAATAAATGTCACTATCCTTACCGCTCCTTCTATTTAAAAGTTATACAGTTACTCTCAATAATCGCAATATATCATCTACCTCTAAATCCACCTGTCATGCTCTAATTTTTCCTTTAAAAGATATTCTTCGTCGCATATTAGCAAATCCATTATTGCGTAAGAATATGTACTTTAGCCTAAGTGTGTTTTGTGAGAACAAGTGTGAATTATGGCATGGAGACCTTTGACATAAATCACCATTATTTGGTAATACGCGTATCAAAATAAACGAAGGTAAATATTATAGTCAGTATTTTAATTAAAAGCTACATGCTAATTTATTTATTGATTATATCATTAATATAAATATAGTTATCTATAGTCTTTGTGATTTTATCACATATTACGACTCTCACATAAATAATCAAATATGTTATAGATAGATCATATTGATCTTGCGCATTGATGAATCTTAAAATAATTGTATCAAGATTGAACGAATTATCAAATTTAATTTATTACCTTCTATACTAAAAATACAACAAAGAAGAAATGCTTCTCATAGAGAATATCTATAGTTAACGGATAAGACACTTATTATAAATCCTGTAAATATCAGGTCTAAAATAGATATTTGGTGTTTGATATTAAAAAGCCTAATAAACATCAATATGTTATAGATGAAATAGTATATTATGTAAATGCAAAATGGACCACAAGACTAATCAATTTATGACATCTTCATCTTGTCAAATACATCAACATTCAGGATCCTCTGCACAATTTGCCAATATTTAAATTCTTTCTCAACATTTATATTAACAAATTTAGTCCATTTTGTACAGCATATCATGCCATCAGTGGCATCTATTTACAAATTGGTAATATGAAACAGGAATTCTGTCGAAAGCTTAAAAACTATTTTCTTCTTAGTTTTATCCCTTTTGCGGCTACAAATGATGAAGTACTCTGATTAATTACTAATGATATTCAGACCTTGAACGTGATTATAAACTGAAAATAGGTAGTCAACGTATATAGGTTACCGGTAGACTAGACATCATTACTAGTGACTTGCCAGAAGATAATGAACATGTAGGAATTAAGAATCACAATGCATACTACAGATGTCATAGTTATATGATTCATTGTAACAACTTAAACGAAATCGATTTGACATTACAAGACATGGATGTTATTATCAAAAAATTACATTGCAATTTTCAGCTATAAGAAGTGCACAAACTCAATCTGAACGTAATGTTATTGCTATGCAATATGGCATCTGAAAGAAACCATCTGTATTTGACAATGTTATGCATAATCATCATCTTCAATGCCAACACAATGCTTTTCATTATATAGGTGATCTGGCCAAAGAAATGCTTCAAGCAACCTTTGAAATACTATCACCAGTAGGGGAGAGCAGGTTTTTGAATGCCTGGTACAAATTCGAATTTTCTCTATTCTGGTCTTGCCAACAAAATCCAATTACTCATTTGGGCTTATATTTTTTTTCTGATTATCTTCGCCTGAGCATGATTATGCCATTCTTTATTAATCAGACATTATAAATGAAATATTTACCAAATACATGACTGCAACATGTATGATTACGAAAAGTAAGATATTGGATTAGTTATTAGGATTATGGATACATTTTTCTCAAATAGCATCTTTGATATTTCGTAAAGAATTTTCTGAAGTTGATTACAATAATCTTCAACAAAGCATAATACTATAGTCCAGACTAGTCGCAAAGGTAATCAATATATAGTTTTTTTATTACCTTCTGTATAATTTTAGCTTAAAGCTTAGACATTATTAATTATTATGTTTAGATTTTTCCTAATATTAGTCAATTACCGAACTTTCACATTTACAACATTTTATTGTACATGCACGAAACCTCGCAATTTTGGTGAACATTTCAGTTTCTACGAAAGAAATAATACATAGATTATTCAAGGCTGTTACTCTTTATTCCAACAAAAGGATATTGAAATGGACTTCGTGTGCTGTGATAATTGTTTATAAACATTGCGATTTCTATTAGATGGCAGTATTAATGAAAGATATAACACAGAATCACAATTTAATTTTTACATGTTATCAAAAGATCAATGTGTATATAAGTTGCTTGGTTTTTTATGGTATATTTCACCATCAATAATTGATTCAGAATTGGAAGAGAAAGATTCATCTATTTCGAAAATAACATGTTTGCATAAAGATTATATTAATATAAGAGTTAGAGGGTTATACAAAAAAAATGAACTATAAATTACTAGTCTAGAAAGTGTCCTTAATGATGAAGAGCTTAATTGTGCTGAATATCTTACTTCGCGAAAGGTAAAATATTATAAGAGTATTAGTTATACTATAGTTAATAAGAATGATCAACTTGATATAACTCTTTGTATTGGCAATATTGTGGATGTTTTAGAAGATGTATCAGAAGACAAGGATGATGAAATAAGAACAATAGTTTCATATATACAGATTCAGGCGATTTTTATTCATACAAAAAGACAATTTGATATTCTATTTCTACTATTAGATTGGTTTATTCTATTAGAAGTTGATGATCCAAAATTAGGTTGCTTACGTTACAGACTTCAACAATTAGCAGATCAAACATAGCGTCGAATTTATGCAGTTAAATAGGTAGACTATCAACCAAACATTCACTTTATACATCAATGTCAAAAAACATATAGTAATGTAAAGCATGACGAAACTAACACATATTATGTACATAATATCTTTTGTTATATAGCCGTATAGCTAATTAAATACCAATTAAATATTAAATAGCATTTTAAAGATATTATAAATATACAGAGGGTGGATAAAAGTATTCGCACACTTTTTCACTCAATATAAAACTTATAATATTTTTGCATTAACAATAAACGGTCAATTAATATTTTATTTAAAGCCGATTAAGATCTACATTTTGTACTAAGTAACT